TTGAACTCTACAGACTTGTGAGGACCAAATCAGAGCTAAAAGTTCTGACTGAGCAGCTGATTGGCTCTTTGTACTTCCGTGTTTCCGCCACCAGAGGGCGCTGCCGGGCAGTAGGCTGCTCAGCTGACTGTTGCCATGACAACGGTGAGGTTTGTTGTTGTTGGCTGTAAACTGAGCTGACAGCAGCATTTGTTTCCCTACAGCAGGTCATGAAGTCACAGAATTTCCATGCTGGACTCACGTGATGTCACCAGCTCACCACCAATCCAGGCTGGTGGTGTCCTTCAAAATAAAGGTATCCTACATCTAAATATCAGAAAGGTGTGTTGTGTGCTGTTGTATGTATTGTATTGTGTTACAGTAGATTACATGATATGCATTTTAAATGAGAAGATAAAGTAAGAATCATTCCCATTCAGATGAATGAAGATAAACCTTCACTCGCTCTTCACCATGAATACTTCAAGTACTTTAAGTGTACTTTCATGTTCATACTTTAGTACTTGTACTTGTACTTGTACCCTTTAAATGTCTGATGGAGACCTGTGACAAGGTGTCGCTACTAAATGACGACAAACACAAAACAACACAACGATGAGAAACACTTGAAGTGAGTCCAGACTGCTGCTGTGTCTCCTGTTCGGTTCTTCTTCACCTCTGATGGACCAGAACTGCTCAGACATGTCGCTTTATTGTGAAAAGCTGCAGCAGCGTGGCTTTTATTGTGAAGGGCGGCCCGGTGGTGCGGTGTGCCCGCAGCAGCAGCTGCAGCTTCAGTCTCCTCCAGCGGCGGACGGACCGACACCGACTTCTCTCTCTCTCCCGTAGCCGCCGTCGGGCCGCGCTTCTCGGCCATGGCGTCCATCGTGTGCCGGGTCCAGTTCCTGGAGGACTCGGATCCGTTCGTGTGTACCAACTTCCCCGAACCCCGCCGACCCCCGCCGGTCGCTCTGGAGGAGAACCTGCCGCTCAGCGAGCAGGTCGCCGGGATCCACAAGCTGCTGGCGGCGCCGCTGAAGGTGGGTCACCGAGCTTACCTGCTCCTCTTTCTGCACCGGGACCGGTGGTTCTGACTCCGTCCGAGGCTGGTAGCGAGCTCAGAACCGAACCGGGCCGAGGTCCAGAACGGTGAGCTGGACTGTAACTACTTTAGACTAACGAACCAGCTCCAAGCGGTCTGTAATGACAGAACCTATCCGGAGATCCACGTGAAACAACCGATGCAGTCCAAAGTCTCTGGTCTCAGAACCGGATAGAAGTTCAGGAGTGTCTCAGGGTCCGAACCGAACTCCGTCTGAAGGTCTTTAAGGTTTAAAGTGATCAGAGCAGCTTGATAGGGATGAATCAGCACCAGCAGTCCTGGTACCGTCCAGAGCAGAACCAGAACCAGCTTCAAACTCTGCTGTCAGTAGAACCGAACCTCCTTTAAAAGGAGCGTTTTTATCAAACTCTTCATTAAAAATTTGACCTTCTTTGTTTTTTAAATACATTATTTTTAAACGTTTATAAAAAGTTCTGTTTGTTTTCTGGGAACATTTGAAAGTTCTGGTTTTTCCGTTTGTGTGTGTTTGAGCTGAGACTGGGTTGTTCTGTGTAGACCTCAGTGAGTGTTTCCAGACAGCAGACGGGCTTCCATCAGAACCTGTTCACATAAACGCTCCGGTGATGAAACATCTCAGCAGAAATCAGAGACTGTAGAGAAGCTGAGAACAGATTTATGGATCAGAACTTATCTCCTGTTTCCTCCAATAATGGGTGCGTGGAGGCTGAGGTTGGTCTGGACAGGACGAGGCAGGATGACGTCTCTGCTGCTGACTAATGCTGGAGGAAGTCAGTGTTTCCCAACAGGACCGGAGTCGGCGCTGCCTATCAGCCGGGCCTCCTGCGAGTCCAGTCCTTCGCTGTCAGAGGCTAAAGTTCACAGATAACGACTAACATCTGAGCAGCGCCTCTCTTAACCCGTAAAGTCTTCACTAAACACCTCAAGTTTCTCCTTAAAGAGCTCGTTTCTCCTCAGCTGAGAACTTCCTGCAGAACGTCCTCCAGCAGCAAAGGTCAGCAGGTTCCACTCAGACTGTTTACAGATGAAAGAAAAGTCAGAAGAAAAGAAGACGATGAAACCGAACCGAAGGAATCGATTAAAGAAAGAACAAACTAGCAAGTTCGTCTAATCTCCAGATAACAGAAAGTAAACGACGTGAGAAGAAAGGGCAGCACATCAAACCTTCAAGAAGATCACGAAGAACGTAGGAGGAATGTAGGAGGAACCTATTCATCACCGTTAACCTGGACAGTCACATACCTGAAGGGTTTTATTATAACTCTGGCTGCTCAGTTAAAACTTTATTTCTGTGTTTAAAACAAAGTGCACCAAGCAGATCATAAAAGCAGGAGATAAGAAACCAAACACATGACAGAGCAGCAGGAACACCAGGAGAGGAGCAGCCTGAATCAGGAACTAGAACATGAGAAACATCAGACACAACGATTTACAGGAATGTAAAGTTCTACCTCTGGAGGATGTTCTCACCACCATCTGATTGAACATTATTCAGACTGACCAGAACTAAACTTCAGAACCATTCATCAAACTTTCATCAATATTTACAGGATCTGTACAAACTCAAAACACACGACAGAAACAAACACTGTTCAGGACTCCAGACCAACCGCCGTCAGGAGAACAGCTGAACTCAGGGCTTAAGGACCTCTTCTGTGTTTTGTGCAGCCGCCTGCAGGTTTGCCATCCTTAGTTAGCTTGCTAGCATGCTAACAGTTGCCTGTAAACAGGAAGTGCAGCTGGGGCTGACGGCACATGGAGCTGCAACGGGTCGCTGAATAGTCGGAGTGAGTTTTCAAGGAGTTTCCAGGACTTTATTATTGTCAGTGAAGCTTTTAGCTCCTCACACTGCATTCAGCATGTTCTGCTGTAAACATGTCATACGCTCTGTGGTTCCTCGTGTGACCTGATGGTGGCGCTTCGTTCTGATGCAGAAGCTGGCCTGGAACGCGGTGCTGCAGCAGCTGAGCGTCAGGTTCAGTGCAGAGCAGCATTTTCTGTGATGTTGGAGGGTTTTATTTGTTCATCTGCTGATGGAGAGGAGTCTGAGGAGGAGTCGGTTTCTGGTCGATGATCAGATTGTTGGAGCTGCTTTTCAGAGGAGATGAGACCTTCTTTCACTGAAGCTCTTCCCTGATTCACACTCTGATTCCTGAATCAGCTTTCACAGCAGAACCAGAGCATGAAGACCACATTCAGACCTGACTGTTGAAATCTGTCCAGGGATCGTTCCAGAACAAGTCCAGACCCATGAAGCTCCTTCAGTCTGAGCTGCATAAACACAGCAGCAGTTTACAGAAGATGTGACAGGCTCTCTGGAAAACCTTCAGCTGAGGAGCCACCACTTCCCAGAGCTGTTTACTCTGCCCAGAATCAGAACCACTTCAGCTGCCAAACAAGATGCACAAAGAGAAGAACGAAACAACAAAAACAAGACAAATCTGTCTCTGAGAGTCTGTCGAGGCTGTAAACATGGAGATGGTTCAACATCTGCAGGATGAGGAGAAGACGTGTTTCAACATCTGAGGAGACACGTTGGACGGGATGCTTCCAGGAGGTTTTCAAGTTTTGTTAAAGAAAAATCTAAAGAAACCCAACATTGTTCTCTGGTCTCCTTCGTTCTGAGTCCTGCTGACAGAAGACGTCTCTGAGTTCTCTCTCGTCCTCCTTCATGTGGTTCTGGTTCCTCAGAGCTGCAGGACTTTATGTTGAAACATGAACCTCAGTGAAGGAACATGAGCCTGGAGGTGCTCAGAGCTCAGAGTGAATCAGAGTTTGTTTCTCAGGTTACAGGGTGATCAGATCGTTACTCAGCAGTCTGTTCGGACACGTTCTGCTTCGTGTTCCTGCAGCTTCTTTCAACATTTCCGCCTGTTTTCATTTGTCCTGTTAGTAAGTCAGAGTTTGGTGGCGTCTCTGCAGTCTGCTGCCAGGCGTTCGCTGCCCTGCAGGAATCTGCAGCATCAGATAAACCAGAGCGCTGGTCCCTGCAGATCGCATTCCTCTGCTGCCCTGCTAATGGTTCCCACGTTGACCTGAGGCTCCTCAGAGATCCTCAGAGACGATACTCGGTTCAGACTTTACGTCCATTCTGCTGCATGAAGCCGGCTGATTGTGGAGGAAGAGGGTGGGACTGTAAACAGGAGATAAGCCTGGACGGATGGACGGATGGACGGATGGACGGATGTCATGCTAACAGCAGCTCCACAGACTTTTCCTTCCACACATGTGAAGGCAGGCTTCAGTTCAAACCTGAGTTTCATGTGGAGAGAATTAAAGGAGCAGCTACACATTTCAATAAATGTTCTTCTCAGACGTCGTCAGGATTCATTCGGCATTGTTCTCCCAAACTGACAAAGGAATGAGTTCCTGTCCAGATATTGCAAAAGTTAAATAAAGCCACCAGGAGACGGATGATTCAGGTGATCTACTGAAAACCTGTTTCAGAAAACATGTTCAGAACTCAGCCTGGCGTTCTCCTGCTCGTCTGTCAGAGGGTTTCTAATGAAGCCTCGAAGCCCAAACAAGAATCCACGAATCTGTTGGAAGCTGCAGAAGTTATTAAATGCAGCTTGTAAAGTGTTGGAAGT